GACTGGCTCTTCCCCCAGGCATCAGGACGGGGCGAGGCAGGGTGGGAGGAGAATGCGGCTGCACCAGGGAAGTGCGGCTGGGGCTTCAAGTTTTTCTGTTTTTAGTTGTATCGCTGTTGGTTTGATGTTGTGTTAAGCCACCCAGAGTTGTTTCAAGTTGGGCAGCTATAGGAATGTTTTAAATACATAAAACTCAGTGTGCTGGTCTGAATGCTCTGTTGGAAGTTCAAATCTGGTGTCGAGATCAAAGAATCCCTCCCAGCCAAAAAACGGCCCAGCAGAGCAGAGGTTGCCCATTCATAATTTGTAGCAGCTCCTATGGTAGGCTAAATAGCCAACAAATTGCTGCAGAGTGCATGCCAAGTGGCCAGTCGCAAGGAATCGCCTGGCCAAGACCCGCATTAGGGAACTGTGACATGGAAGCCGCCAAGGGTTAGGCAGGGCTCCAGAGCACCATTTCTGGTCAGGAAGCTGTGTGTGAAATAGTGCCGTGCAGCAACAGCTGCGTTTGGATCATGACTGTGAGGCGCACATCTCCCAACACCGAGACAGCGGCAGCTGCAATTACGTATCTGGAAGAAACAAAACCAAAGCAGTCAAGACTTTTTGAAGGAAATCAGCTTTAGGGGTAGAGTTGGTGTCACTGTTGCCTGAATGATGGGGTGTAGAGATAGTATTATAGCTGTGCTCCATGTCACCATCTTCTCTGCCATGTTAAGCATCTGAGATCTGTTGAGCCTCAACTGCGACTACAATTCTCAGGATTCCCAGAAGCATGGGAATTGTAGTCCCAATATCTTTGGATCCTTATCTTGCTTCTTATCTTGCAGATTTTCTGGGAAGAAGGCATCATGTCAGGGTACCGACACCCCAAAAGTTCTGCCTTGGATTGTATTCTCAGCTCCTTCCAGCTGAACAATGAAACGGTCAACATTTGGACCCACTTCCTTCCAACTTGGTAAGTCTGTTGGTTCTAACCATAATTCAGAGGTCGGCTGATGCCTGCTGTTCCTCTCTTATTCTATTTGTCCAGTTGCCCCACTCCTCAGCCTGTTGTCTTCCTCAAGAAATTACAGACTGACCAGCTGGGGACATCACTGAGCCAGAGAGAATTCAACTTTGACATTGAAGGGGCCTTTAAAACAAGGAAACAAACAAAACCCCCATCTTAAAAACACTGGTTCGGAAATGGAATAGTATAAGATACATTTGTACATTGAAAATCTGTCATTCAGTTGTTTTTAATTATTTGGCTCTATTATTGCATTACCAAAAAATGCTTCCATTTGTCTCCCCAGCAGCTCAGATTCAGAGTCTGCTGCCTGTGTTCGGGAGGTGATAAGCAGCCATCAAGGCCATGTGACCCCCACTAGCCCACCATGGGTTTTTTCCAATCCCCTTTTAAATGACTGAAGTGGGTATCCACCACCACATCTTGTGGCAGTGAGTCCCACAGTTCGCTTATGGTGCCTTACGGGAAAATCCATCCTGTTATCCTTCAGAGCCCTGAATCTCTGCTCATTTCGTTTCAGTGGAACGGCGGGAGACGGAGAACAAAGTCTCTCCGTCCACGTTTCCACCCCATCCGTGAACCCACAACCCTCGGTCGTGCTCGCCCCTCCATCTTCAGCTGCAGAACTGCTCCCATGCCTGTGGCGGTCAGGGTCCAGGGGCGTCTCAGTCTCTTGGCGCCCCAAGAGTGGTGCTCTGGATTGCTCTGATGCAGGGACAGGGGCAGAGGGGGGCTCCGGGCAAGGGTGCGACAGAAAACCTCGATGCCCTTTCTCACCTCGTAGGTATTTCTTATGGCGGCTTGTGATGCTTTCCTATTGCCTGGACTTCTGGAGCGATGCCTACAGCTGGCCATTCCTGGCATACATGACTCTGGTCTGCCTCTATCCGTTCACATCGAGCTGCGCTCACACCTTCAGCACCATGTCCACGCACGCGCGACACATCTGCTACTTCTTGGACTACAATGCCCTCAGCCTCTACAGTTTGGGTAAGGTGCCAAGGGAAGGCCCAGCATACTTTTAAGGCTGACCTTCTTTCTCTCTTTCCCAATAGGTTGGGACTGCAATTCCCAGAATCCTCAGCCGACCGAATGTCATATTTGCCGGGCATTCTGGGAGCTGCAGCCCCAAAGCTTCTTGGAGGGTGCCGGGTTGGGGAAGAGAACAGTGTCCTTTCTATAAGCGGAATGCATATTATGTACTTAATCACACCACCCTTAGCTGCTCTGATTTCTTGGTACAATCATGAAATGCAGCACAGACTTGGCGATGGCCTTGAAAATCCTTATTTTCCAGGGGACAACTGCAAGGAGCGTCTGGCTCTACAGTCTCTCTGGGTTTGGCTTAAATTAATGTCTCCCGGAAAAAGAGGCATCCTTCTCAGGGAGCTTGAGAACTTCTTTTGGATTTCTCTTGTGGGTGTTTTTGACTGTCTTCTTCGACTGTACACAGTTTTTTCAACAATCTGCCGGCCTCTCCAGCTGCCCCACTTCCCAGCCTGAGCCCCTCCCCGCCCCCAAGAAATTCCCCGTCGGGATTTGATGGAAGGGTGAGAAGCCAGGAAGGGCACAGGCCACTGGAGGGAGGAGTGTGCAAAGAAGCGCAAGGCATTCACACGCATGCTATCATTCAACACCTGTGTTTGCTCAGCACCTTTTCAAGACGATGCTTTCGGCTGCGTTCACACAACACGCTTAGCCAGGCCAATCACGGAGCCGGCACCTTCCTTCTCACAAAATGCTCCGCTGGTTAGTGTTAACCTTGGCTAGGCTTTTGGTGGCTTAGCATATTGTGCAAACCCAGCCAGTTCCCCCCCACCCCAGTGGATACTTCAGTAGATTATGCAGGCTAGAAAAGAGCTTAATTCCACAGCCAGGCTAAAGGCGTTGTGTGAACAAAGCCAGGAAGCGTGCGGACACCGCTACCTCCCCGCCACCAGTTCTCCTGTCTGGGGAATTTGAAAAGCAAATTCTCTCATCAGGACAGAAGCCTGGAGCATCCCCGTCTGAGCCAGCTCCCATTTCCAGGGAAGGACTATAATGTCCGGGACAAGGCGCCAAGACAGATCCCATTTCAAGGGCAGCAGCAGCAGGGGACAGGGGGGTCAACAAGACCAAGACGGTGCCCAGCCTGGCAATCAAAGTACTGCCCCCTTTTTCATGTGCACATAGAAAGAGGCGGGGCTTGGATTGCACGGGCACAAGCTCCACCCTGTTATGATCAGGGCCCCTCCCACTGTCGAGCCCCGCCCCTTTCCCTTTTGGGGGATTCTGAGCGTTGGCAAAGACGCTGGAGCAGAAGGTCCCCTCCCTCCTAACGGTGTCTTTGTGTGTGTTTTAGGCTGTGCATTCACATATGGCGCCTACGCAATGCCTGACCGCTGGGTCAACAGCCTGTGGCACCACTGCTTTGTCCCCGGGGCCGCCATAAATTCCTTTATCTGCACCAGCCTTTCTTGCTATTCTCGGTATGTAGTTTCAGCTTCTTGCTGTCCCCAGGCTCAGAGCTGAAATGAATTTACAGGCTTCAGATGCTGAGACTTTAGAAGGACCAACCATCCCTTTGCTCTTCCCCTCCAGAACCAGGGCTCGAAGAGTGGGGAATATTGTTAAAAATCTGATCTTTTGAGGAGGCCAATCTGAACAGACCTTGAGAAGATTGACGCTTCAAGTTCATTTCAGCTCAGCGGCCTGGCTTGCAAAGTGTGACTAATTTCTCCCTCTTTCACTCCAAATGTCTTTATTCCTCTGCACAAATCAGGGTATTCAGTACTAAGAGATGCTCCTTAATGAGCACCGTTTATGTTAGGAATATAGGTGGCCATCTCACAGGCTTTCCTCCTCTACCAGCATCTCTGCCCTGTTGGCCACTGCAAGGAAGGCAGAATTGCCGCAAGGGTGGGGAGAGTCTGTTTCCAGGGGCTGAAATGCACCTGTTAGATGTTTGAAACAGAAATAGTATATTTCACATCAATAAATGTTTGGGCCACTCTGTGTTCTCTACAACACAGAAGTGCAACGATGGAGTAACCTTTCCCTACTGAATTTCTGCCTGACATGCATTTCTTAAAGGCACAGGATCCCCGTGGATGCACTCACCCAACATGTAAAACTCCGATAGTTCAAACCTAAGATTTTTTTTCTTGCGCAGCTTAGTTTGTTATGTGAACCCAGCCCAGTGAGCTATTTAGGGTTTGATGTACTTACAGACTAAGAACATGGATTAATTCCTAACCAGTGCATTGTGTGAATCCAACCCCCACTTCTTTCTAAGTGTTTCAGTCCCTTGCTGGCACTTACCGACCACTTTCTAGCACATTAAGGAGAAGGGATTGGTGCAAAGTTCAGCCCTCGTGACTACTGCACTAAACAAATCCTTTTGGCCAGGAGTGGCCATGTTTCTCCTACTATGAAGAGTGGCATTCCCCAGGCAGGTTTACATAAGGACAGTATGAGTAGCGAAGGTGGATAAAGCTTTAAGCAGCAGAGGGTGGAGCACAAAGTGGGTACGGCTGTCATATTAATCAAGCACACATTCTTAACTTCCTGCTAGGAAGTTCTCCTAAATTCCCCAGGTGAATTCTAGTTAGATCTTCTCTTCACTCTCTCAGTAAGTCTCAGCCCCACAAGGAGGACCAGACCAAGAAATAGACTCTACAGAAGACTAAAAACAATTTTTAATTTAGATCGGCTATGGTAACATAATCTTACAAGTCTGAATATGCTTCCCCTCCTCCCTGTTTCATATTCATGTGAATTACAGGGGTGTCTGTCTAGGATGTTTTCATCAGCCACCCTCATCATTTGGTGTCAAGCAGCGTTTTCTTTTTTCTTGCTTTGGTAATGGATCTTCCATCTCCTCTTCAAGGCCATCTTCTTTACTCTCTACATCAAGCTTGCTCTCTGGAATCAGGCTGCCTTATATTCTTTTACAAGTCTCTGCTTACTTAGCAGGAAGCTGTCACCCAATTGGGCAATTATGGCTCTCAGGACCCCTTGCAGTTAAGACGTGTTGAAGAGATGATCTTTTCAGCCCTCACAGATCAGCCATCATGGTTTCTCTGGCGGTGTTTCTCTTCTTCCTCCTGGTCAGTTCTCCCTAGCTGACCAGGAGGAAAGGGCAAGAAATGGATCAGTGTACTTTGGAATGAGCTTTTCCACTAGATTTTACAACCAAGGGGCTGATTGCCTTTCTTACAGAGTTACATCTTTCCTTTCACATCCGGTTCCCTTGTGCATGTAAAGAAAAATATTGTTTTTGCTCTTTTATGCAGAAGGACCAGAGCCCTTTTAGTGCCTCCCCTTTGCTTTGGAGAAGTGTTCAAAGCTGTCTGAATAATTATTCTGGGGGACACAGATACCGTGCTTTCTTTTTTGGAAGATGTGAGTGAGGGGAACCTCCCTTTCCAGACCTGCAGTATCTTACCTTTCCAACCTTCTGTAACCTTTTTTACCTGGACAGCCTATTGAGTTAATTCCAAAATATCTTTTCTAAAAAAAAAAAAGCAAGGATTTCTTTCTTCATAGGTTGATTCCCTTCCTCTGACATCCCAGCTCTTCCCTACCTGCTCTTTCATTTCTTATCCACTTTTTTAACACTAATTTAAACTTGTTTCGAAGGCACTAAGCCAGTGTTGTCCAAACTTGGCCACTTTAAGATGAGTGGACTTCAACTCTGGCTGGGGAAT